CTTGCAGGGCAGTTGTTCCAAGAGTTTATCTTGTGATTGTCCTCGAGTGTAGCTTAGTCTCATAATGACTGTGGAATTTCCTATGGACTTCGGCCAGAGGATCTCTGTAGGGACAGGCTCTCCTTTGTTCGGGTCTTAGCTGTTTCCCGTGTAAATCAGCTAACAACTGTCATTCCAATAGATCAAATGAGCTAACAACTGACATTGCTTCTCACCAAATGAGATATCAACAGACTTTACTAGGCTAAACTATCTAGCAACTGGCATTACCAGACCAAATCAGATAACAACTGACATGGCCATAGAGGTTCTCATCGTTGTGATCTGCTTTCTTTTAAAAACAGGTCCCTATTTTATTTTATTTTTTCAGTGTTACTGGTACGGGGGTGAAGGGTGGTATCCCATCGCCGCGCAGCCTTTCGTGTCACACACAGCAACAGTTAGACGCCTCTTGAGGCCACTCGGCGCCAGGAGGGGGAAATGTGTCAGTCGTGCATCCTTTATTGGCTGAACTGTCGCCTATGATTCCGAAAGATGGCCTCGCCGCTGTCTCTCTTGCACTCGTGGGGCATCCCTAAGAGGAGAGAGAGAGAGAGAGAGAGAGAGAGAGAGAGAGAGAGAGAGACCAAACGATCCTTCGGGCCGGGCAGTCGATGCATGATGTCCTTGTCAACCTCAGGCAGCCTTGTGTTTGTTTTTCTTCGGCGGTTTGTATAGGTCGTGGGGTGGGGTGGGAGATTTTAATAATCTGCCCATGAAAATAAACTAGCATTCGTTTCAGGTCTGGCTTCTCGTGCTATTCATTGGGCAAATTCAACGGATCACTAGTGGGGTTTGTCTCCAAATTGTTTGAAATCAAGCGTCACAGGCCCATCTGATCTTAATCTTCCTATCTAAATGCATGAGAGAGTTCCGTGTTTCTGGTTTATTTCAAGCGTACCATCCACTCTATGAACCGTTCAGATGGTGGGCCATGGCCTGACTAGCATGAAGGCGCGAAGGGGGATGTTTGGTTCCGCATTTTTGCACTTTTTGCGCATCGCTAGGCGTCTTGGCATGTGACTTGAACTTGAGAGCGGCGCGCTGGACCTCAAATTATCGTATGTCTTACGGAACCTCCCTAATGGCTCTCCCTCCATCTCGCTACGCCCGGCTACGCCTCACGAGCGACCAGCGACCTGCCTCTGGGGCACAACCCTCCACGCCTTGCTTTCAATCTCTGCGTGGCTCTGTTTCGATCGTTTCTTCACGCACACACACACAGCACGCACGGACGAACACGAAAACACAAACACAAGCATCGGTGATTAAATAACGCTTTGGCGTGCCTTGCTTTTGCGGCTTTACTGTTTTAGCCCTGCGGCGTCACAGAACCCTCGCTTCTATCTCTCTCACACACACACACACACAGAGCCTCACAAACACACACACACACACAGAGAGCCTCACAAACACACACACACACACAGAGCCTCACAAACACACACACACACAGCCTCACAAACACACACACAGCCGCACTCACACAAACACACGCTCGCACACACAGAAAGGGCGAATCGGGGCGGATGGTGTTTGAATTAACGCCCCGAGTGTCGCTTCTGCTGCCGCTGTCACGAGCAGAGAGCTTTGGTGAGGTGAGGCGGCACCACGCGGCGGTTTAAAGAGGCCGGCGCCGCGGGGCGGGACTGGCGGCACCGGTCGGGGCGACACAAGGGCAGTGGTTTTCGTCGGTCTGTCTCTCTCGCACCGACACGGGACGCCCCGTGAGTGCGAGAGAGACAGAGCGACGGAGGCGCTGTTTGGAGTGAACCGGCTGGCCGCGCGGCGTGAGCAGCCAGCTCATTCCAAACAGGGCCTTCGTCGCTCTGTCCCTCTCGCACTCACGGGGCGTCCCGTGTCGGTGCGAGAGAGACAGAGCGACGAATGGCGCTGTGAGCTCTGCAGGGAGGCGCGGCGCTGCTGGTTCCAGTCGCCCGGCCGCCCGTTCGCTCGGAGCGGGGCGCCGGGGCGTGAAGCCTGCCACCCCTCCCTTGCTGCCCTCCCCCTCGCGGGGCCCCGGGGCGAAGCAGGGCGAAGCGGAGAGGGGCTCCACCAGCCTTGGCAGCCTTGGCGCACCCACGCCGCCGCCAGGCCACTCAAAGCTTGCGGCCGCGAACCCCGTCAAACAAAACGGAGAATGTTCCCGAAAATAAGGGGGAGAAAAGAACAACGGAGGGAAATGTGCAGCGCCCTGCATAAAGAGAGCGCTGCGAACACGAAATTTTCGAAGCAAGATTTTTACAGAATGCACTGAGAATGAAATAACTACACTCCCAATTTCCTACTGAGAAATGCCATGCAGTCATAATACTAAGCTGATTCTCAGTACTTTACGACACAAATCTGTCATAGAAATTTGTTCGTAATATGAAGAAAGTGGTCATACTCCAATTCCAGGAACGTGACATCACGTTGAAACGAACGTGACAAAATGTCACGTTCGTTTGACTATTGTGTCATGTTCGTTTGAATGTGAACAAGCTGGTTTTTGGCCAATTCACATCCAAACGAATGTGACACAATGCTCAAACGAACGTGACATTATGTCACGTTCGTTTGAACGTGACGTCACGTTCCTGGAATGAGAGTGCATAAGTTACTGAGAACTCTTCACCACAGATTACTACCTTAGCTGCGCAGTCATAATTTTTTGTTCGTATTACGAAGAAAAAGCTGAGTAGGATATTGGGAGTGTACGATCTGCACGGTAAAAACGGAACCTGGTTTTCCCAGGAAGCCCTTGGTAAGAAATAGGCGATTTCCAGGGGTTTTCAGACGTGTTCCTTTCACACCGAAAAACTAAACGTGGTCTAGACTGCACCAACTGGTGTGGTCAAATGGGTGTCATTTTGACCGCATCAGTTGGTGTGGTCTAGACCACATTTTGCCACGTTTGGTGTGGTCTTTCCATGCAATGACCACACCAAACGCACCAAACGTGGTCTAGACCACACCAAACGTGGCAAAACGTGATCTAGATCACACCAGCTGATGCGGTTAAAATGGCACCCTTTTGACCACACCAGTGGTGTGGTCTAGACCACGTTTGGTTTTTCAGTGCATTTCGACGAAATTTACGCGAGTGCAGTGTACAAGCGTCTCTACACCACGTTTTGCCAGAGTGTGCCGCTGGCAGGGGCGGCCCAGGGCCAGACGGGCGAGGCGACAGAACGCGGAGGAGGGCGCGGCGACAAAGCTTCCCGCTGATGACCCGCATTCGCCGAGATTGTCGCCGCCCCTTTGTCTTCCGCCCTGACTTTTAAGAGTGGCAATGGGCCCTTCGTCTCCGTGGCGTGGTGGGGCGGGGTGAGGTGGGGTGGGGTGAGGTGGGGCGGGGCGGCGGGGCGTTGCTTTCTAAGACAGTCACTTGGCCGCCGTTTTGTTTCTCTGCCGAGGTGCAACCGGGGTCACCGAAAGGGACCTGTCGGTCGAGCGATTACGCCGCCAGCGCACTCCGTCTCTCTCGCACCCCCACGGCACGCACGCTCTGTGAGTGCGAGAGAGACGGAGAGAGACAGCAGTGAAATCCTCTGCCCTTTATTTGTCGGTGATAAGGGCGTATCGGCCCAGGCCGACTCCGAACGAACGGTGTTTTTGTCTCTGTCTCTGTCGCGCTCATTGAGAGTCCAGCTCTACAGTTGAGAAAGAGAGAGAGAGAGAGAGAGAGAGAGAAAGAGAGAGAGAGAGAGAGAGAGAGAGAGAGAGAGAGAGAGACTGGAATGTTCGGAATCGGCCTGCTGAAGGGCGGCGGTCAATTGGAGGCGCCGGGACAAGGAAAATGGACAGCTGTAAAAAGACAAAAAATGGAGTTCAGAAAGGGACAAATGGAAGAGAGAAACGACAAGGAAATAATGTGGGACTGTTGTTCTTTGTTCCTCTGTGATAGAATCGTGTCAGTATTTTACATTTCGTGGAAAATTGAACGGGAAGCGAATTTATGACAATATTTCAGCCTGGAGGAACATTCGCACCTCATGTTTTGTTTGTCTTCGTTCCCTTCCATGCCCGAATTAAGGTTTTTGTTGCACAAAAAATGAGCTAGTGGTCCCTTGGGTTCGAAACGGGTGCTGTCTTTTCATTTGTCTTTCCGTGTGGACACTTTTAGAATGATTTCAGTCAAATATCTTTACCTTCACCTTTACCTGGAAATTCTATACAAATTTGTACGTATGGTCAAACTTGAGTGAGACCACGTCCAAAAATTGCAAAAACGAGTTTAGTGTCTCCACACAGCTGGACATCAGCGAATCGGGAAAGCATTGAAACTAGCTTGTTCAGATGGTGAGTGAGCTTTGCTGATATGCCTGCTCGCATCATGTGGCAACTTGAGGGGGAAATTCTCCAGGATTTCCGAACGGCGGTGTGGAACGGACCAAGAAGGGGCCCGGAGAGGGATGGAGTCGGTGGGGCGAGACTTGTTTCGTCGCTCTGTCTCTGTCGCACTCACGGGGCTCTCCGTAAAAGTGCGAGAGAGACAGAGCGACAGACCGATCGACAGCGGCGGGCCCATCACGGCCATCCCCGCCTGCCTGTGTTTGCAGTGTCCATTGGGGCGGTCGCGGTACAAGACATGGCTTTCCTGCGCCAGGCCCGCCGGCGCCTCCCCCTCCCCTCCCCTCCCCTCCCTTCCCCTCCGAGGGCGTCGGAGTACATGGCAGCGACGCCGGGACGCCCTCCCCCTCCATAAAGGCACTCTGGCACCGTCTTTTCCAGCGGCTGGAGACCAATTCACGGAATTCTAAAGCGGTCAACTAAACTAATTTCCACTCCTCTCTGCTCCCTGCCGCGCCGCCACCGCTTTTTGTCGCAGAGAGTGAGTGAGAGAGAGAGAGAGAGAGAGAGAGAGAGAGAGAGAGAGAGAGAGAGAGAGACTTTGAAGAGGTTTGCGGTACAGAGAAAGTGGTAAGAAAGGTGACCGCTCTTTGGCAATGATTGTTGATCCGGTTTTCTGTTTGCAGGATACAGTACGAATGCACTGTCGACTATGTCGAAGTCTTCACTGGACCCACACAGTCACCTTAGGCAACCAGGTGAGTCGTTGCTGCATCGTGCACTCCACTCAACACTTTGAAAATTTAAATCGTCACTTGATGACAATTTCAAGGCTTATTTTCCTTACAAGGATGTCATCGAAACAATTAGTGACATTGTTGTCACGCCCATGCCAAAAGTATAGGGGCTTTGACGAAAATATCATCTATTTGTGATGAGATTGTCATGATTTGAAAGTGATGAAAATATCATCCCCGATTTCCTCAGAAAGTGACCACAAATTTTAACAGTGAAGTTGGCACGGACCCATCACTCCACGACCAAGAAGAACTTATTTTGATGAATGGACAGCATTTTAAAATGATTGTTTCTTTTCGAAACGTTATGAACTAAATGTATGCATACGAACTTGATCGTAGCGCAAACCCGGTTTGCTATAAAAACTTAAGTCGAGGGGTCCGTCACTCCCTCCAATCACTGTACACCCCAAAAAACAATCACAATTCCAATCACTTCCAATCAAATCCAATCAAATCCAATCATTCCAATCATTCCACTCACTACAATATTTTTCAATCATTTCCAATCGCGCAAATCAACTACAATCGCTTCCCCAATCATTACAATCGCTTCCCCAATCATTACAATCATTTCCCCAATCATTACAATCATTTCCATTTAAATCTACAATCGCTACAATCATTCATAAATTTGGGTGCAAATCAACCAATGCAAGGCAAGAGCTCATTTTATCGCGCGACTCAGCGTGCCTTAGGGCATTGGCGTTGCCCGATTGTCTTCTTCTTTCGGGCACCTTCGGTTTCCGTTCGGACCTGCTTCGGACTACTTGCACGGTTCGAAAAGTGGGGAGTGGGGAGAGTGGGCGTTCTGACTGCTGTTGGTAGACGTGACTCCATTGGTAGGGACTTACCCGCCAAAACCTCACGCATGCTTCAAGCTGTGACTGGCTGGCGCTGCCTGGCGACTTCTCGCTCACCCAGGCTCGGACTACACTCAAGACTCCTTCCTTACGGACACCATGTATCCGCAATACGGACGGTTTTGTGCAAGCGTAATTACGGATGGATTTTGGTTGTAATACGGATGATTTTATCCGTAATACAAAGGTTTTCGTGTCCGTAACATACAGACGAAAATATCCGTATGGTACGGACGTAAAACTCTTTGTAATACGGATGATTTCATCCGTATTACAAGCAAAATTTATCCGTAATTGCAATTGCACAAAAATGTCCGTAATACAGATAGGATGTATCCGTAAGAAGTTAAGTGTGTAGCCAGGGCAGACAGGCAGAAAAATCTGCCGGGGTCTTCGGGTTTGGGACCAGTAACGTCACAAAGTTGGTCAAAGAGTGACTGAATCTCCGAAAGCAGCCGTTTTCGCTGAATTTGAGAGGCCATTGCGTCCGATCTAGTTGCGGCCAACGGCCTCCCTCGACGCCCTAGTATTCTTAAGACCCTACTCTTTCATGCCCTGTATCGGGAAGACGCTGACCACAACGATTTTGCCTTTGACCGCAACGATTTTGGGACCAAAGTTGGTCAAAAAGTAGTCGAATCTCGGAAATTTGCTGATTTTGCTGACTTTAGGTGGCCACTGTGTCCAATCTAGTTGCCGTAAAAGGCCTCCCTCGACGCCCTAGTATTCTTAAGACCCTACTCTTTCATGCCCTGTATCGGGAAGACGCTGACCACAACGATTTTGCCTTTGACCGCAACGATTTTGGGACCAAAGTTGGTCAAAAAGTAGTCGAATCTCGGAAATTTGCTGATTTTGCTGACTTTAGTGGCCACTGTGTCCAATCTAGTTGCCGTAAAAGGCCTCCCTCGACGCCCTAGTATTCTTAAGACCCTACTCTTTCATGCCCTGTATCGGGAAGACGCTGACCACAACGATTTTGCCTTTGACCGCAACGATTTTGGGACCAAAGTTGGTCAAAAAGTAGTCGAATCTCGGAATTTGCTGATTTTGCTGACTTTAGGTGGCCACTGTGTCCAATCTAGTTGCCGTAAAAGGCCTCCTTCGACGCCCTAGTATTCTTAAGACCCTACTCTTTCATGCCCTGTATCGGGAAGACGCTGACCACAACGATTTTGCCTTTGACCGCAACGATTTTGGGACCAAAGTTGGTCAAAAAGTAGTCGAATCTCGGAAATTTGCTGATTTTGCTGACTTTAGGTGGCCACTGTGTCCAATCTAGTTGCCGTAAAAGGCCTCCCTCGACGCCCTAGTATTCTTAAGACCCTACTCTTTCATGCCTGTATCGGGAAGACGTGACCACAACGATTTTGCCTTTGACCGCAACGATTTTGGGACCAAAGTTGGTCAAAAAGTAGTCGAATCTCGGAAATTTGCTGATTTTGCTGATTTAGGTGGCCACTGTGTCCAATCTAGTTGCCGTAAAAGGCCTCCCTCGACGCCCTAGTATTCTTAAGACCCTACTCTTTCATGCCCTGTATCGGGAAGACGCTGACCACAACGATTTTGCCTTTGACCGCAACGATTTTGGGACCAAAGTTGGTCAAAAAGTAGTCGAATCTCGGAAATTTGCTGATTTTGCTGACTTTAGGTGGCCACTGTGTCCAATCTAGTTGCCGTAAAAGGCCTCCCTCGACGCCCTAGTATTCTTAAGACCCTTCTCTTTCATGCCCTGAATCGGGAAGACGCTGACCACAACGATTTTGCTTTTGACCGCAACGATTTTGGGACCAAAGTTGGTCAAAAAGTAGTCGAATCTCGGAAATTTGCTGATTTTGCCGACTTTAGGTGGCCACTGTGTCCAATCTAGTTGCCGTAAAAGGCCTCCCTCGACGCCCTAGTATTCTTAAGACCCTTCTCTTTCATGTCCTGTATCGGGAAGACGTTGACCACAACGATTTTGCCTTTGACCGCAACGATTTTGGGACCAAAATTGGTCAAAAAGTGGTGAATCTCGGAAATTTGCTGATTTTGCTGACTTTGGGCGGCCACTGTGTCCAATCTAGTTGCATTAAAAGGCAATAAAAAAGTTGGTCATGAAGGGTAAAAACAATGATGATCGGGGGCCTTTTGCGGTCTTATCCGCCGGGGCCGCCGGGGCCTTTTGCGGGCCAGTCCGAGCCTGCGCTCACCCATGTCGCCTCCACCCGAGCAACCGTCCAAATAAATTTGTGATTTTGAACTAAAGAAGTTAAAACGCAATTCCTATTTATTTTCATGTGCCCCTAAATATATTAAAGGCAGACTTTTTGTACGCTTGAAATTTTACACACACTTTCAGTAGCCTGTCTGATTTTCACACCTACATTTTGAGACAAGCTTTTGATCCGGTAATGTATTTTTACCATCGCATTTAGTGCTCAGGCAGCCAATCAATATTTGACCGTTTCCAATCAATTTCTAATGAATTCCAATCAATATCCAATCAATTCCAATCAATTTCCAATCAATTCCAATCAATTTCCGATCAATTCCAATCAATTTCTAATCAATTCCAATCACCTTCCAATCATTCCAATCAACCACAATCATCGGCAATTATTTTGAAAATTTCCATTCATACAGTCTTTTACAGTCTTTTACAGTCACTTTTAATCAGCCCAATCAATTTTACCTCCAATCATTGTACACAATTTTGGGGAGTGATGAACCCCTCGACTTAAGTCTTCGCACCTTCAATACATCCAAATTTTTCGCAGTGTTTGGTTTTAACAGTGCAGTAGTAAATTTTTTTGGCTTGAACACGCTAAAAAGTAATGTGATATCTTCTTGTTTATTGGACTCGCGACCGAAGAGAGCTGCAAATTTTGTGGTGAGGAAACGCTCTCTTTCGCACTCTCCTTCTTTCACAGAAACGTCAGAAATGCGTGCATTCATTCGGAAAAAAAAGCCTGGCTTCGTTATTTTCCCAGTGTACACGCCAATCGGCTTCTTTGGCGGGACGCGAAAATTGGCAAAAGGCAGGGCGACGCATCGGGCGGTTGTGTTTACATTCGGCTCAGCTTTCCCGGCTACTGCCTCCGGCCAGCCGGCCGGCCGAGCGGTTCAGGAGAGTCGTCGCTCTGTCTCTGTCGCACTCATGGGGCTGTCCGTAAGGGTGCGAGAGAGACAGCGACAAACCGGCCGCCTGAATCGCGCGGCCGTCCGAGGCTCGCCTCCCCGCGCTGCCGTCCGGACGCAAGGGACACCCTTGGGGTCGACCCCGGCAGACCGACGCCGAGAGTCGTCTTCGTCGCTCTGTCTCTCTCGCACTCATGGGGCGTCCCGTGCAGGTGCGAGAGAGACAGAGCGATGAGGACGAATCTCGAAATCAGTCTGCAGGGCGCTGCCGGTGGGCTCAGCGCGGCCTTCAGGCGCGGCGCGCTGGTCAGCACCCCCTCCTCATAATCAAGGGTCCCGCCGAGCAGACTGAATCCGAGTGGGAGGTCTCGCTCTCTCTCTCTCGCTCTCTCTCTCATGCGGTGCTCCACGCCGGTGCGAGAGAGACAGACCGACGGCCAGCACTGCGCGGAGTCAGTCCACTGGGGGAGGGGGTGCGGCGCGACTCGACACCCCGCGTCGCGCGGCGTGTCTGGATTCGGGCCACCTAGACGCGCACTGCTCCTTTCAGTGAGCCAATTAGTACACTGTGAATGCCCACGCTATGGCCGCTATGGACATTGCACGTGCGGTGCGATGCACTTGAGGCGTCTAAAAACGGCAAATATTATAGACGCGTTTTGAGCTCTAGAGTCGCTAAACAGGACTCGAACCGAACGTGTGACCCCACCAATGGATTCCTCGTTTTGAGAGTAATCCATTGGTGGGGTCACCTGTTCGGTTCGAGTTCCATTTCGCGACTGGAGGTCAAACCGCGTTTAGAAATTTGGCCGCCTCCACCGGTCTTCTGCTGGCCCACTGTGCGGCGTCGCAAAGAGACTCTGCCCGAGACACGCGCTCGCCGTGTGACCCCCGTGGGCCGTGGGCTTTGGCCTCGAAACTTTATTCAAGGTCTGTGACTTGTTTTACGGTGTAGTCCGTCGCGACGGGGCGGCCAAG